CAATTCGAAAAAGAAGAGTCGTGGAAGATGTCAACAGGCCTTCAAGCAATAGCACTTTCTAAGACCGGAATAGACGCTTTACTCGATACACTCGACAAAGGAGCAACCGCAAAAGAAGAAAATCGTCAAACGGTTTCGGTCAAAAAGGCTTACGAAAATTTATACGCTTTTAATACGCAAGAGGAACAAAAAAGAAAAGCAAAAGAAAAAGTCGAGAAGTCCAGTCTTGTCAATTGCTCAACCCTTTTATAACATTTTAATAACATTTTAAATAACATTTTTTGAAAACAAATGAAACCCCAATAACTAACAAATAACATTTTGAATAACAAAACGGATTCTTTGCGTTTAAACATCCTTCCAGACATTGAAAAACTTTTCTTTGACAACATCGATGACAATTGCAGAGATAAGGACAGCAACTACTATAGCAGCCATGACAGCTGTAACCACCCAGAAAGTTGTTGAAGGTTCGTTGTTGTCTGTTTTGTTTGTGTCTTCAGAGAAAGCGAGTGCAAAAATGAAAAAGAGGAGAATAGCACTTCTCATTCTGCAATGGTAAAATAGATGAGACACCCTTTTTATTGATGTGGCATTCCATTATTTTCAAAAAGTAGAAATGAAAGGACATTGTGAAATACTATAAAATATAATTATTTATATATAATATATAGCTTCTCAATCTCAAAAAAACTATAAAAATAATTTCGACGAATATTGTTTAATAAAAACATAGTTAAGAGAGATGTTAAAAATAATTGAAAAAACACAAATTTTTTGAGAAAATTGTTTTAACCTTGTGATTGTGTGATTGAGTAAAATGACAGAATGAGTAAGAGATTACCCGAAAGAGAGTAAATTTAAGCTGTGGAAATGAAGAAGAAACATCGGAAAATGAGCAAAACTCTGGTTGTGTACTTCTCAAACTTTAAGTCGAGAGCAGGTGAAGTCGCCCACAAGATAGCACTTGGGGTGCAAGGTGATCTTTACGAGGTTTGTTATGTATAAACGTGAAAAACAGGACTCACAAAAAGATAAAAACCACCAAACTGTTCTACCAAGGCCATTTGAACAGAGACGGCGTCCACAAAGAAAGCAAGGTCCCAATTGTTCATGACATTGTTGACTTTTCACCGTACAACCCAATTTACATTGTCGGTGAAACGTGTGGAAAATACGTAATTGGTCCAGTGAGAACCTGGATGGAGCAAAACAAAACAGCGCTTGTTGGGCACGACAAAAACTTTGTGTATGTCATTGTTGGGAAGAACTCGAAGAGAGCACTTGACTCGATGAAAAAAATCTTTGGCGAGCCAACTGACACATTGTACGTTGACAAGTTTGAGTACCCTCTTGACCCGCAGACGTTGCTTTCTTCAAATGAGCAAGTCAGTCATAAAAAGGAAGGTTTTAAAGCCAAGATCCAACACTTTATACACTCTTGAACATTAATTCATTCTTATTTTTTGAGGATTTCAAAAAAACTTGAAATGAAGAAATAAAAAAGGAACTGGAAAAGAATAAATTTATGTTCGCAAATTGGGAAAATAAATTGAACGGCCACATCGACGCTTTGGTCGCTTGTACGTTTGTTCATATATTTTTTACTATCTTTTATTGCACCTTTGTTTTGACTCTTAGAGATAAATATGACCGCGAACTAAAGTCGGAGAGTGTCAAATGTTTTTTTGTGGTCGTTTTAACGGAGTTTCACGGCGAGACATGCCAGCGCTTTTTCGATGATATCCGCAAGCTTCTTCGCGACCGTTTACAGTCGACATTGCCGATTCCCCCAACAATGAATATGTGCTTTTCGATACTGAAAGTGATAGAGGTGATGATGGACAGTGGGTTCAATGAAGTCAATTTGACAAACGGTTGTAAGTATGTTCTATCGATGTTAATGAACACGGGGTCTCCCGACTTAATGCGGGAGACGGTTCGAGTGATTCGGCAAATCATATGTTTCAATTTACACGACTTCAACAAACAGTTGATGACAGCGATTGATTGTGAGCAACGTGGGATGACTCTCTCGACCTCTTTATGTACGGACTTTTCTCTTGAGAAGATCACGAACATGTTAGCCAAAATGTTGATCTTAAACGAAGTGATAATCAATTCCCCATCAACGTGTTACGCGACGACGCAGCCGATTCTTGAGTTAATTCAAAAGGGTTTGGTGAACGAAACCATTGAAACGCGCATTGAAGCGAACAAGGCGCTAGACGAGTTCTTCAAAGTAGTTAAGAAGGATGCGCTCTTTAAAGAAGTGATGGAGAAGAACTTAGGGAATCTACATATGCCTGGCGAAGGGGATGAAGCCGTCATCCACGGATCGTTAATAGCCGCAATCACTGTTTTAAAGAACAAATTTGATGAAGAGTATTTCTATCATGTGATGAAGGAAGTGTACCTCTCTGCGAAGAATGGGAAGACTTCATTGATCCGGCGGGTCTCGCTTCTCATGCTCTCGGACTTGTGTAAAATCTCACCGGAGAAGTTTTACTGTCGCGAGCCGATGAACCGATTTCTGGACGAGGAAATCATTCAAGTGGAGAAGAGAAGTACCGGGAAGATCAAGAAAGTGGGGAAGAAAGAAGATCGGATGAGTGGCGATGTCCCGAGTTTACCGGAACTGAGTAAACTTGAGAATGAGAAGTATCCCTTCAGTCGCATTGTAATGTTCTTGTTGGAGTGTTTTCGATCGAATATGGAGAAGCCGACTGTGTTTCATGTGATGGGCGACTTGTGTATGTATTTTCCACGACAAATGCTTACGTTTTTTAAGATGGATCCACAGAATGCTGCGTTTGTGTTAATTCGAAAGAGTGAGTTTGAGGTCTTGAAGAAGATTAAAAACGAGAAGGAGCGCCAAGATATGTTAGTGGAGATCTTATATTGTTTCAATAAAGTGGTGAAATATTTGTCATTTGAAGAGAGAGTAGACGTCGCTGTAGAACAAAAAGAAGGGGTTCAGGTAATCGACACGCAGAAGCAGAACACGTCTATAACAAACTTGTTTTATTCACTCTTTTGTGATGTAGCGGACTGTGGGTTGAATGAACAGTGTGTCGAGTTGTTTTTGACATTCATTGAGATGTTTCCGAAGAAGTGTAAACCCGTCAAAGATGTGTTAATTCCAATGATACGAAACATCTTGTTCACATACAACACCCCAACAACACAAACGATCACACAAATAGTCGTGATGCAGCCAAAGGAGTTAGTGATCTTAGCTATTAAAGTGTTAACGAAATTACCATTTGATGAAGAAACGATGAAACTCATTGTTAACACAATTAAGGAGTACATCGACAGTGAAGACATTCATATCAGGAAAGTAGTGACGAAATTGACACCAGTCCTCTTACCAGAAAACATCGACGAGAAGAGTGTGCACGTCTATGATATTGGGCAGACCGTTCAGAAATTGTTAGTTCGTGGGATTAGTGATCAAGTGTGTGGGATACGTCAAACTATTATGGCGAGTTTTGACTCGCGATTTGACTACTTTTTGAGTCAAACGGCGAACATCTCGAATTTGTTCATGGCGCTGAACGACCAGAATTTCAATGTGAGACAAGAAGTGATCCGAATCATCTGTCGATTGACTACTTATAATCTCTGTTTCATGATGCCATCATTCAGAGACATATTAGCGAAGTTAATATCACAATTAAATGTTGGGATTGCTGCTCTGACTATTGAAGAGTCAATTATGTTATTGACCACTGTCATACAGTCGAGTGGCGACTTAATTCTCCCATATAGTGAAGCTATTATTATGGCAATTAACCCTAAATTGAAGACACTGACCCCTACAGACACTCCTACACTCTTAATTGGATTTTTGAATGCGATGACCGAGTTGATTTGTATGGGAAATGTCGACGAGAAGTATGTCAAGCAAACTCTTGAGACGGCTATGACTATTTTAAGACAGAAGGGGATGTCATTGCAGAAGACTAAATTACGAATATCTGCTCTTCGATCGATTAAAAAGATCAGTCGTACATCACAATATGCATCTAATCTGTATCAAACGAATCCCGACTTGTTTGAGTTGTTAATGGAGTTGTATAACACCGACAAAAGCCAGGAAATAACAAGTGAAGTTGTGTCAGTCCTTGGGGTCTTAGGAGCAATGGATCCAACTCAATATCGAATGGGATGTGAAACGGAAATCATTCAAGTTGAAAACGACGACAGTTTTGATACTCGCATACCTTCAGTGACAACACAAACAGACGCGTTTTATGCGTGGACCGTCATCAATTCACTCTTGAAAATACTGAGCACAAATACACTTGTTTCATTGCACCCGGACTGTCCAAGGAAAATCACACAGACGTGTCAATGGCTCAACCAAATTAAGACGCCAATGGTGTACCAATTCTTGTCATTTGTCTTCACACAATTCAACAAACTCTTTCCACAATGCCAACCTAATGTTCGTGCGGAAATTATTAATTCGATCACTTCATTACTCGACTGTGTGGATAAGACTATTAGAGACGCTCAATTGACAAAACTGTTTAAGATGATTGCGCAGTTCTGGGACAACAAGATCTTGTCTGCGACGTGCAATTTGTGTTCCAAATTAGCGGCAACAACAAAAGACGAGTTTAAGTTGTATTTACCGATAATTGTCCCCGTCTTACTGAATGAACTTTCACGACTTAAATACAGTAACAAAGATGAAGACATTAAGAACAACGGGCCATTGATCATGAATAAGTGCTTTAACACGTTTGCAAAGAACATCGACTTGAACGACAATTTGTATAGCATTGTTCCAGTCTTTTTGGAACTCTTTGGAGAACAAGTTAACACGAACTTGAGAGAAGCTATTTTGTACCACATTTTCACGTTCTTTGCGAGTGTGAATATCTCGGATTACGCGTCGTGGATCATTTCAGTCACTGTGAGTCAATTACAGAATGAAACACTACGAACAGTGTTGATAGAAGGACTGTCGACAATGGCAGTCAAACTTGGACCACAATATTTCTTGTTCCACGCGAGTGTGTGTGCTGCTTTAAATAAGTACCCCCGTGTTAAAGCGATAGACGAGTTTGAGAAGAAGTTGGACAAAATCCGGTCGAGTCTCGACACGTTAAGTCGCGAGGTGAAACCACTCGAGAAAGAAAAGATAGACATATCGAAGAAGATCGAACAGAAGAATATAGCGAGTGAGAGTGTTGATGACCAAAATAAGTACTTTGAGTTGTGGCAGAACTGCAAACAATTTACTAAAGAGGAAGAGTGGAGTGACTGGACGGAAAGGATCTTAATCGAAACGATTCGAATGAGTCCGTCTGTGTTAATCTATGACTTCCATAGTATTGTGAGTAACAATACAAACTCTCCTATAGCAAGAGATTTGTTCAATTGTGCGTTCCATTCATACTTCATAATGTTGAAAGAGAACAAAAAGAATGAAATTCTTGATGATATGAAAATGGTCATAACCCAACCGTCTGTCTCCCATGAAGTAGTCGCGTTGGTTTTGAATTTGGCGGAGTTTTTGGAACACGAAGAATTGATCAAACCAATCAAAGAGTTTGGAGACTGCGCAAGCAAAATTGGGGCATATGCGAAGTCTTTAAGAGCGAAAGAAAATGCACTGAAGAATGAGAATGGGGAGAAGGAGGTGAAGCGGCGCGAGACGATCGGGGAGGACGACACGCCTGTGAAGCAAAAGATGTATGAAGAGTTGATTGGCTTGAACAATCAATTACAACGGAAAGATGCTGCGAGTGGGTTGATTTATTTAGCTGAAAAGGAGAATCAAATGAAATTGAATTCCTCGTGGTTTGCGAAATTAGGGATGTGGCACAAAGCATTGACCAAATTGGAGGATGAAGGAGGGAAGCGTGTAGATGTGAAGATGGAGTGTTTATATGAAATGGGTGATTGGAAAGCGTTAGATGACACTATCCAACCCTTTTGGAATGAAGATATGAAGAAGTGGAATTACTTAGAGAGTAATGATATTAAGAGAGTAGTAACTATGGTAGCTGCTTCGTCGTTCTATATGGAGCATTGGGTTGAATTGAAAGCTGTGATAGAGTCTCCCGAGTTCAAAGAGATGGATCCATTTGATGCTGCGTTCTATCGTATAGTGTATAACTTATATGAAGACAATGAAACGACTTTAAAGGAAGCCGGTGCACTTATTGAAGCACAAAAGTCGACCATTCGAATTGAACTTGGTGTGTTATATGCGGATGGGTATGAACGATGTTACAACTCTTTATCGCGTGCAGAGATAATCACTGAATTGGAAGAAATTTTGTTACTCAAAAAGAGGAAGAATGAAGACGGGAAGCACATCAATAAGAAAGTCCTTGTCTCCAATTGGGAGCAAAGACTTATTAACTCACAACGTGATATTAAGACGTGGCAACGTATATTAAAGATGCGAGAGCTTGTGTTAGACAAACGGGAGGAAGTGAAGTGTTGGATCAAATTCATCGGGATGTGTGACGAGAAGGGGGAGACCAAATTAGGGTTGAGCACATTGAACATGCTTGCCTGTCACCACCTTGAGCCGACTATTGAAAGTTTGCCGGTGGACAATTTGGAGGTTGGGATGAAGTACTTGAACATCATGTGGAGGATGACGAAGGACTTAAATGAGAAGCGTGGACTGTGTGAGTTACTTGAGGAGTATAAAAAGAGATGGAAGGGTTTGCGGACAATCATATGATGGCGAAAGTCTCTTCCAAATTAGGAGAGTGGAGTTTGTATATTTATCAAAGTGGCAATGAAGTGAATCGTGAGAACATCCGAACTGTATTAGGGCATTACAAAGAGACGATAAGTCGAGTAAAAGATAGTCATAAATATTGGCAAATGTGGGCGTTAGTGAATTTAGAAGTAGTTGGGTTATATGAGATCCAAAAGAGTAATGGTCGTGGCGATGTCAAAGAGTTAAAGAAATTGATGAAGTCGTATGAGAACAGTACAGTAGAGAACAAAGAGAAGATTATCAAAGAGAAACAGAGTGAGATAGAGAGTGTGATATCAACCATTAACAAGGACGAAACAGAAGAAATTGGATTCATAGAAGCGGCAGTTAATGCCTTTGTCCAGTCATTGTTACTCTCGAAGACTAACCACTTACAAGACACTTTGCGATTACTTACACTGCTCTTTAAATTTGGTAAATTCAGAGAAGTCGAGCACGCTGTGACTGCGGGAATTAATGACTTGCCAGTCGATATATGGTTGCATGTAGTCCCGCAAATCATAGCAAGAATACAGTCTGATGTATCTTCTGTGAGAAGAGTAACTACACAACTCTTGACTATGATAGGCAAAGCACACCCACAAGCTATTGTCTACGCACTCACCGTCGCATCCAAATCGCCAAATGAAGATCGCCGTGCTGTAGCCATTTCAGTGATTGAGAAGATAAAGAAGGAGAGTGGGCATTTAGTGCAACAAGCGATGTTAGTGAGTGAAGAATTAGTTGGAGCGGCGATTATAGCCTTTGAGATGTGGAAAGAAGCGCTGGAAGAGGCTTCAAAGGAGTTTTACAACAACAAGAATTTCAAGGCGATGATGGACGTCTTAAAGCCGATGATGATGAAGTTGGATATGCCCCGCAACAAGCGGGACCAATCGTTTGTCTTGATGTTTGGGAAAGACATTAAAGAGGCGTATTCGTACTTTGAGCGATATGAGAGTGTAGCTCAGGCGAGTGATGAGATACAGTATATCGATGACTTAGCTATTGGATGGGATATCTTGTCTCGTATGTACTTCAAGATCACAAACATTATAGCGAAGATTAATGTCGTTGAACTGCCATTAATAGCACCACGCCTCTCTGAAGCTCGGGACTTGGATATTGCAGTACCTGGGACATACAAAACGAATCAAAGTGTGATCACTATCAAATACATTGACCCGATCCTTGGTATCATCCCATCGAAGCAACGTCCTCGGAAACTCACGATAGTAGGTTCAGACGGGAAAGCTTATAAATACTGTTTGAAAGGACATGAAGATCTACGACAAGATGAACGTGTGATGCAACTGTTTGGGTTGGTCAATGACTTGCTTGCTGGGAACTCGGAGACGTCGAACATTCATTTGAAGATCCACTGTTATGATGTTATCCCTTTAAGCTCAATGAGTGGGTTAATAGGGTGGGTCCCACATTCAGACACCCTCCACCAAGTAGTCAAAGAGTATCGGTCAGCAAAGAACATCTCCGTCGACGCAGAAAAGATCATATGCACGAAAATGATAGCCAACAAGTTCGACACACTGTCTGCGCTGAAGAAACTTGAGATCTTCGAGAACGTCTTGGAGCAGTCGAAAGACAGAGAAATGGACTTAGCGAACGCGATGTGGATCAAGAGTCAGTCTTCTGAGATGTGGTTAGAGAAGCGGACCAACTTTACACGGAGTGTTGCTTTAATGTCAATGGTAGGGTATATCTTAGGTCTTGGGGATAGACATCCCCAAAATTTGATGTTACAACGAGTGACTGGTGATGTTGTTCACATCGACTTTGGTGATTGTTTTGAAGTTGCTATGAACCGGGAGAAGTATCCTGAAAAGATCCCATTTCGACTGACACGGATGATGGTGAATGCAATGGAAGTGAGTGGGATAGAAGGGACTTTTAGAATCACATGTGAGAAGGTGATGGAAGTCCTTCGAGAGAACAAAGACAGTCTTATGGCGGTGTTAGAAGCGTTTGTGTATGATCCGTTGATAGTGACGATATTAGGGGGGAAAGATCGTACGGAGCAAACAGCTATATTTGAGAATCAAGATAACCAAGACAATCAAGACGAATCGAAGAACAAAAATGAAGAGAAGAAAGACGATGAAGGTGAGAATGATGGGGAGGATGATGCGGACACTGATATCAATTCGAAAGCGGGAGGAGTTACTAAGAGAGTACTTGACAAGTTGACTGGGAAGGACTTTGGGAAAGAAGTCGATGTCCAGACACAAGTCGACAAACTGATTCAACAAGCGATGAGTCATGAGAACCTGAGTCAGTGTTACCAGGGTTGGTTACCTTTCTGGTGATCTCCCCACACATACATATGCTGATAATAATTGATTTTAAATGGAATGTGTTTTGTTTTGGAATAAACCTCATTAATACTTCACAAGTAAAACTCATTGAATACTTCATGTGTGCGACTAACAACACTTAAAACGATTTATTACACTCTATCTAGTCCCTGGTCTGTCTTCTTCTTCCTCCATTGGTATCTTTTTCTCTTCTACGATAGGTGAAACCTCTTTATTCATCCTTCCTTGGAAGAATGGATGGGCCAAAGCGTCGAGTGGTGTAATTCTTTTTGCAGGGTCCATAGCTAGCATTTTTGTCACCAAGTCACAGAACTTTTCCAAATCGTCTCTGGGCATTTTGTCGCCGGGGACTCGAGTAAGTGGACCGCCCATATCGACTCCAATGATGTTGGAGAGTTTTTTCTTTTTCAAGTAAAGTGGTTGGAGTGTAGTGTGGAAGTCAAATCCGTCATCAGTTTCGTGTGGGATGAATAATTTTCGAGCTCTGTGACTTTCTTTGATCATGTCATTTGGTGGCATTCCAAGCATGGCACTCATCATCACAAGTAATTCGACTTCAGACCGAGCAGGGAAAAGGGGTTCAGTAGTTAAAAGTTCTGGGAGTATGCAACCCAGCGACCACATATCGATGGGATGACTATAGTTCAATCCCATAACGACTTCTGGTGAACGGTAATACCTCGATTGAATGTATTTATACATGTGTGTGGATGGGGTACAAGAGCTACCGAAGTCGATCAATTTGATATCTGCTTGGTCGGGGGAGATCAAGACGATATTCTCTGGTTTCAAGTCGCAGTGGATGACTCGAATTGAGTCCATTTGTAAGTAGTACAACGACCTTAATATGTCGAAAGCAAATCGTTTGACTAAAGTGAGTCCAAGAGACGCATTCTTTTTCATCAGTAAGTCATATAAATTGAATGAAAGGAGTTCAAAAACCATACAGAAATGTCCACCCAAATTAAAGGTGTCGAGTAAACGGACTATTTTGTATTTATCAGTCGGATCATTTGTATTTAAGTGATAGAGGATTTGGACCTCTAATTTGGCTTGTTCATAGAAGTTCTTTTCTTTCCGAATAATTTTGAGAGCTACATCTTGATTGCGCACCGTGTCTTTCGCTTGAATAACTTGGCCAAAAGACCCTTTGCCTAACCCTTTCACTAATAAGTACCGGTCCATTAACATCTCTCCAACTCGCCATAATAAATGTCCATCTTTATCTACTCGAGTACGCACTTTGGGTGGTTGTTGGCCTTGTTTCTTGTCATGGCAGAAGAGATATATCGCCTTTAAATTGGTTGTTAAAAGCTTTGTGATGGGGGCTTGTTTCGCTTGCTGCATTTTTCGTTTTACAGTTAAGGCGCCTTGAATTTCAAGTTTTAAAAAGAAGATGGAAATTATGAAAAAGAAGAGACGGGTGTATTTTTGCAGTGTGTTCTTTAATTTCTTTATCTTTACTTGTGCTTGTCGATTTCAAACTGTTTGAAACTAAAAAAAGCCCATTTCTTTTTTGTAAAAACAAAATTAAAAAAAACTGTGACTATTTATAAAAAAATTCAGTGAATGAAATTAATTTGATGGTTTAAAATAAATAGCAGATAATCGTTTGGAAATTTTTAACTTCAATTTAAAATGTTTTCATTTTCGACTTAAGAGATTGTCTTTTGTTTTATTAAAGTTATAGAAGTACCAAATA